CCACGTTTCCTTCGCGATGGAGCCCTTCGAAGTCATCGTGAACCAGCCGGTCGTCATTGACAATGTGAGTGGCAGGGGCGGAGGGCGGGGAAGGAGAAGGGAGGAGGCGGAAGGCGGTGGAAGCGAGGAATGAGCAGGAGGGGGGAGGGCCGGGGCGCGCCTGTCAAGTGATCTCCTTCTCGATGACTCATCCTGCTTCTCCTGTTTATTCCTAATTGTTCCGCTCGCTGCGTCTTCCCCGGGGGTTTCTCCGGGCCCCTGGGTGAGGCTGGGGGCGTGAGGTTGGTGGGGCAGGAGGGTTTATTGATCTCCTGTGAGGTTGTGAGGGGTTGGGGGACGCCTCATATGGGACGCCTTCATTTCGGGGTTTCTGGGGAGATATCGGTCCGTTTTGCTGTCGTTTTTGGGGAATTGCTTCCGTATTTCTGTCCTGGGGGCGTGGGTCTGTTGTGTTTTGTTATATGGAGGCTGGAAAGGAGGGTTTTTTTCCTTGATATTTGGCTCAATGTTGTGGTGTTTACGAAGGCGTGAGGGAGGCTCCAGGTGAAGCTGTTTTTGTTTTTGTTTTTTTTGTCTTTTATTCGGGTTTCTTCAGGAGTGGTTGATCCTCATAGTATTTGTGGAAAACGTAATTGGTTTATTTGTCACTGTTAAAGCAGAGTTTCATGTAATTAGAGCTTATCTTGGGAGGAAAATTGTCATAATGGCTGCCACCTTGTGATGTTTTTATGCTTTTTCATATTTAGTACACCAAATGCTCCTTTTTATTGCATTCCATTATTAATTTTTTGTTATTACCATTGTCAAATGAGTTGTTACAATTGTTATTACTCTTATTTTTGATAACTTTAGATAAATCAAACTACCTGCTGTTGCCTCTACACTCCGGCAACGGCTGACAAACCTCGATCACATGCATTCAGGCAAGAAAGAGCTTGGCCCGGCTCATTTCTTGATGAGGATAGCCTTTGCTGCGGATTTCCACTAGCCAGAATATTTATAGGGAAGGATTTCGCGGCCATTGCCAGAGCACAAAGGACTGAGACTACTCTATTGCTTGATCCGTAGGTTCGTGCGCTTTGAGAAAGGATTTTGGAATTATCATGATGTTGCCTAGGTTCACTTTTATGCCTCTCGATTTTTTATGGCATTTTTTCTCCTCTGTTTTTGTGTGGTTTTATTATGGATATTTAAAACTTCAGATATTGCAGTATGTTATTTTTTATATATATAGCTAAAGCCTCGGAAATAAAAATCGAGAAAGGCTAACATTGTACGGAAATAGTAGGTCCGTGAAATCAAAAAATTTATATAATTGTTGACATAAAAATATTAAAATATTAAATTATATCATGTGAAACTTATTTAATTCAAGATATAGATATAAAAAAAGAAAAGAAAATAGAGCATATAAACCTTTTGCGACTGACACTCTTTTCAAGAGCATGTTTAGTTCGTAGACCTCTAAGGGTTCATTTTACTAGAACATTTGTGTGGAAGAGGTTTATTGGCCGTGCCATAGCAGTAAAGGCATGTAGGCCATGGCAGTCATTGGATACATATCACTAGGCTTTATTCCTAGTTTGCTGTTGACATTCGGATATGTCCATTGTAGAGAAAGGCAAGAAATGTTCCAAGTAATAGGCCTATTTGACAGACAGACTTGAAACTTAATCATCATCATTATTAGCAATATTTGTTGGTATTATGTTCATTATCTTTCTCATTGTAAGCATTATTGGTATCATAACTAGTGTTATTATTATCATTCTTTTTGCTGTGTCAGAGTAATGAAATGTTTATCATAAATAGCCTGCCGTACAGATGTCAAATTGGAGAATAGCCAACCCTGCACTGCTGTTAGATCAACTAGTAGGGGTTAAATCAACTTCAGGGTTTAAGTAACTTTATTTTCAGTTTGATATAACTTCACAATAAAACTAAAAGGTTGTCAAATTCTATCTATCTGATTTTGAATTATATTATTCACTATATGTTCATTAGATGCACTGCAGAAACTATAAAGTGTGGAAGGCATTACAGTCTATACTGAATGGCTGTTGAGTTGTATGTAAATAAACCTGACTGAGCCCTTTTTGGCAGAAGAGCTACATTTTGGACTGGTGATGTATTTATGATGTGAACCACTGGTGCATCATTTTCTCCAGCTATCAAAGAAGCATTGAATAAACCTATAGTAACAAGGATGGATTGCATTGTTCTACCTTTTTGTAAACTATCATATTAATCATGAGTATATTTTGCACCTATTTCTACTATGCACATATTTTACACACAGTGCTATTCTTACTGCAGCTTTGACCATGTTTCATTGTCATTTTTACTTCCAAAAAATCTTTATTATATCGAGAAACCAAGGACTCTTGCGCTTCCCTTCATTATCACTTTTGTAAACAAACCTTATCACCTTAGTACCACCCCCCCAGATCATAGTGTCCATAGTAGCTACAGTATTGTGCCGTTCGCCAGAAAAGTAACACTTTTTATACCATTAGTAATTATACATTTACTATTTTACTATTATTTATAAATTGGTAATGATTCTTATTTTTGTGTTTATTTTCCTATTGATATATAGATATTCTGAAATAATTATAAATGTAAACCTAGAAAGGCCACTATACATTTCTGATAAAGAAGTATCACAAATTTGGAAATAACTTCACTTCAATAGTGCACAAGTTGTCTTCAGGAATGTAGGCTGAATGCAACTTTGATTTTTGTTGGGATATCTCTGAAATTTGTTTACTTTTTGTATTTATCTGCTTATATATATATATTTTTCCTTACCTTTATATATATTATATATATGAATGAATAAACCTACTATAAACTAGTTACAGTTTTATTTGTCAGACTTCTGTGGCAGTAAAATGGGATGTAGTGAACCACATTTATGTTGACAAATGTAAAACAGATATAAATGAGAATGAATATCTTCACAATACAGGGGAAGTATATAACCAATTTCAAATGTATCTTCATGTACTTCTTATGAAGATACATTAAAACTTGCTTAACACATCTCATGTATTGTGAAGATGTACATTCTAATTCATACCTTTTCTATGGGATGTGGTGCCCTTCATCAATTTGCCAATTTGCGTCTAGCTTGTTCAGTATTTAAGCCTTTGGACTCATGTGGTATTTATAAGCAAATATTTTAACATTTTAATATTTCCACCAGCAACTACTCATGACACAAGCAAATAATATCACTGTTATTAGAGAAAGACAAACTACCTCTGACAAGCTAATGATGTAGCTTATGTTATCACCTGTTTACTCATTTCCTTGATTTTCGGAAATATCTTACATTGTCTTATGGTGCTGTTATTAATGTCTATAACATTTTAATAATTATAATGCCTATAATAAAAATAGCACAATTGATATTCATAGCATCAGTAAAAAATATGCTCTTGCCATTTCAAGGAAAGGTGAAATCAGCTAAGGTCACAAGTTCTACTAATCGACTCTTTTGTGCCTAAGCACTAGCAGAGCCATCTATGTGCAGAGACATTTCATACTAAAAAAATTAAAATAAGCATAGCATTTTCCTGGCAGTATGATTTAATTTTGTTCACATATACATGGCTCCACAAGTCCTTGCTGAGAAATTACCAGGGAAGATTACAAGCTTAAAAAGTCTTTTGAGAATGAAGAGGATGGAGATTTTGTCAGATGTAGTTGGGACACTGAGAGGGATGGAAGCCACGTGTAGGCCAGTGGTGGGTGTGCAGGGGTAGAAGTAGCATAATATTGTGCGCTTTATTTTGACATGATTAAAGGAGCGTTCTTAGCAATTGTTATGGCCAAGCAAAATCATCATCATTATCTTACTTATATCTGAATAACAGAATACTCTATATGAAGAAAGTAATCCTAATAGCTCCATGATGAATATCTTCTGGATAACATGGTCATTGTTACTTATGTCCTGTTATCCTCAGAGAACAGATACTTGTATTTTGCAGCAATTTCGCAGACCTGATATTTGGTTCACTGATGCCAAGGATTTATAACTGTAGGAAGACCCCTTTCATGCCCCTCAGTATTTACCAGTCAAGGGCTTGGATGAACAGGAGGGGGCCTTACCTATAATCTGTAAATGCTTATCTGTCGTTCGATCAAACGATGTGTGGTTGGATAAAGAGGTGTAGGATGTAGTATTTTTTTATTTGAACCATCCACGCTTAACTATTTACCTCATTTCTTAAATTTTAGGAAAGACCTGTTTTTGTTTCTGTTACTGCTGTTAATGTTAGTGAGTTGTAATAGTATTGATGTTGATAGTATTATTGATGATTGCAATAATAAGTAGTTTGTTTAAATAGATAATGTAAAGAATGACAATTAAAAAAAAATATGATTTTGAAAAAGATAGCAATAATAATAATATGAATAGCAATAATAATAATATGAATAGCAATAATAATAATATGAATAGCAATAATAATAATATGAATAGCAATAATAATAATATGAATAGCAATAATAATAATATGAATAGCAATAATAATAATATGAATAGCAATAATAATAATATGAATAGCAATAATAATAATATGAATAGCAATAATAATAATATGAATAGCAATAATAATAATATGAATAGCAATAATAATAATATGAATAGCAATAATAATAATATGAATAGCAATAATAATAATATGAATAGCAATAATAATAATATGAATAGCAATAATAATAATATGAATAGCAATAATAATAATATGAATAGCAATAATAATAATATGAATAGCAATAATAATAATATGAATAGCAATAATAATAATATGAATAGCAATAATAATAATATGAATAGCAATAATAATAATATGAATAGCAATAATAATAATATGAATAGCAATAATAATAATATGAATAGCAATAATAATAATATGAATAGCAATAATAATAATATGAATAGCAATAATAATAATATGAATAGCAATAATAATAATATGAATAGCAAT